CACACCAAACTGAGCATGTGTTTGTAGTTAGAGTTGGAAGAGATGAAATTTGGGGTTCCCTTGCCAGACATTCATTGCTTCAACAGTTCCTGGGGTTATTTGAGTGAATAAGACAGACCCAACCCCTCCCTGCACCATGGCATTTGTACTCTCTAAGGGAAGTGATTCCAGTGAGTGGACAGATTGCAGTGAAGTTTGGCGTTAATTCTCTCTTGGTTTCTTTGTGTCCTTAGTGACTGCACCTAGCCCAGGCTGGATGGCTTGTCGATGCTGAGATATCGGTGTTGCCTTCACAGACAATCATGTACAGAAGCATCAGATTGCTTGGATGTGTTTAGACTGTGTTAACCTCAAAAGGGAGGCTGAAAACAAAAGGAAAATGCAAATCCTTAGTCAGAGTCGAGGGAGAATCAGCCAATAAGCAACTTGCAAACGGGTTGGTATAATGATTCAGATGGCAGTCGTCAAGGCCACAGGGGATTGTGGAGGCACGTATGGTACAGGAAGAGATACTGTTGCCATGTGAAGGAGCAGGGCAGTGGACAGAAGCCATCAAGGAACAAGGTTCCAATGGACCTTGAAGTACATACAAGGGTGTTCCTGGTCTACCAGGACTTCTCAGTTCTAAAGTTCAATTCTGTTTGATTCATCCAAACCAGCTAGACAGATCATCACATCACCTAATCAAACGAGCTAGACAGACATGGATCATCATGTCACTTCACCCAGTCACCCATTGTTCAATGATGGGTGACAAGTTATAGTCAAGATGGTAAATAGGACTAAATAGTCTGTCTGTCTACCAGGTGTGGTGGCAGACGCCTTTAATCCCAGGTGTGGATCTCTTGTGAGTTCCAGGACAGCCAGAGCTGCATAGTGAGACCCTGTCTGAAACCAAACAACCAAACAAACGAGTCTGAATCTCCTTCAGAGAGTTCACACCTGAACTGATATGGCCTGAAATGTCCAGTCACTTCCAGAGTCTTTGCACTAATCATAGTGTATTCAGATAGACTTGAGTGTCTGAGCAAGGTGGCAAGGTGGCAACCAAATAGTTGCCAGCACTATTGTCATTCAGGGTGGAGCATGAAGCATGAGGCTTTCCAGGCAATGATTATACATGCATATTAAAATAATAAAGTTCACTTTTTCCTCCCAAGCTAACACACATGTTCTTTGAAGAAAATACAGGAAGGCTGGCAAGTAGGGTGTAAAGATACAAGAGGGCCAATAAGCTAGCTATTGACAGCTAGCTTGTGTTTGATCTCTGGGTCCTACATGGTGGAAGGGGAGAACTGACTCTTGCAAGTTGTTCTCTGATCTCTCAATGTGTGCCATGGCAGCTCCCCCTCCCCAGATAAGTAAATAAATGTAATAACCGTTTTAAAGAGAAAAATACAAGGGAGGTAAACAAAGGTTTTTACTCTCATTATTGGATGCTTTTCTTACTTTTCTTCATGACCTCAAAAGTTTGACTGTTTTATATCTATAATCATTTATAACTTGCTTATGTCATTTGGCATGATGGAAAACTGAAATTCTTATATCTTTATGCAAGTGTGTATAACCTGTCACCATTTATGTACCGCGGTCTTCCCAACTTACTTCAGCATGTGGCTTTTTAAAAAAATTCATTTTTCTTAGGAAGATTTTGCAAAAGTGGAATCGCCAGTAGAAGAGAAGAGTGTCATGAAGGCTCTCAAAGTATATATCGTGAATTTTCCCCTAAAGGGCAAATTGGTTTTTATTTTCATAGTATAACAGCATACAGGTTCAATCCTCAATTATTTGCCATTATTTCTTACTTTGAACACAACTGAAACAAAGAATTAAGACTTTCTTTATATCTGATTGGGTCCACAGAAAGCACAGGTCTTTCGTTTGTGTGTTGGGGCTCAAACCCAAGGCCTCCCACATGCTAAGTCCTAGAACTTACTCCTGATCCATATCTATCCCAGAAAGCAGTCATTCTGAATAGAAACAGTCCTGTGCTCTCACTGGACAGCACAATACTTTGCCCATAGTTTCCATTACAAGCTGCTGCAGAAGCTGGCCATGTACAGGAATTCTGCACCAGCCTTTAAACTGTGGCCAGTTCCATCCACTGGGAAGTGGTTCTCTTTCATTGTAGCCAATTGTAGCCATTGCACTTAGCATGAGAGGCACATATCTTCTTAGCTGGTGGAAGGAAGGGGCTCCATAGCCATTGTTCTTCATTAGAGCGACTAAGAATAGGCAGAGTTCGCTGGGCATTGGTGGTGCACGTCTTTAATCCCAGCACTCGGGAGGCAGAGGCAGGCGGATCTCTGGGATTTCGAGGCCAGCCTGGTCTCCAGTGCGAGTGCCAGGATAGGCTCCAAAGCTACACAGAGAAACCCTGTCTCAAAAAACCAAATAATAATAATAATAATAATAATAATAATAATAATAATAATAATAATAATAAAACAGAATAGGCAAAATTCACTTATGCATGGGCCTGACCTGATACAATGCAAACTTCCAAAATGACAGGACCCTTCTTTTAACTGCTGAGCTGGGGAGGAAAATGTCCCTCAACCCTCCAGGGGGTCTTGGACCTTTGAGCTGCATATTCTACCTAGTAGCTATGAGTCTCTTTGAAACCACTGCACACGTAAGGTTGAAGTCCTGCTTCCAGAAGCCCTGGCAAGTAACAGCAGCAAGTGACTATCCTGCTTGGCAATGAAGGTGGAGGGCAGTGAGGGTGACTTCCTGAGCAGGTGGCTTATTGGAGGGATCCAGTGGGGGAGCATGCAGAATGACTCCACTCTGATGAGACCACAGGAGCCAAGGTGGTGACTGTATCCCAGAGGCCCCTAGTCACCAATGTCTTCTGGTAAATGTGGTCCACTCTCAACAGGAGAGCACTGAGAGAGATTCATTCCAGTCTTCCTCTGGTATTAGCTAGGGGTCTCAAGTGTCCTCTCTCCAGAACTGTGAAGGGCCTTCCGGTGTCTGGAAACATAGGTGTGTGTCACAGTGCCCGACCCACTATCTTTAGCAGACCAGTTGATCTGAAATTTAGCCCATGTTAGTTTCAGCATGTCTGCCCTACCTGAAATGCAGGGGACTTCCTGCCTCTCTCTGCAAGCAGAACTGTGGTCAGAACAAAGAATTAATGTGACTTAGAATTAGTTGGAGCAAGCATTAACTTGACTTTTATCATATTGGATGGCTATTTACTGAGAGCAAACTCTGTATCTGGCCAGAGCACGCATGATGGAGAAGCAGAGAGTTCAACGCAGAGTTACTTGTTAGGGTGCCGGTGGGCTGTGGTGGGCACAAGATGGCTGAGAGTGAGGGCTGTGAGTGATGGCAAAGGGGTAGGAAGCTAGACAGGGACCCAAAGAATGTGCAGAAGAATGAGGTGTGGCCCAAATGCTGCAGGGAGTGTCCCACTCTGAGGTTGGCTTTGTCATGTGATCTAAGGGTGTCCCTGAGAGTCTCAAACCTCACTCAGCCCTTGCAGAACCAGCCCACTTTCTGCTCTTCCGAGGGCATGGCCCTCTGACAAGGTGGCTCCCCAGAGTGAGCCTGTCTACCTTCTCCACCCTCTGATGGGCTCCCCTGGGACTGCGATGGAGAGCCCCTCCCTCATTGAGGAAGTCAGTGCTGTGAGGTGCAACAGGACACCTGGGCCCAGTGACAGTGACTCACTATGTGCCCTCTGGGCAAGTTATTTTGTCTCCTTGGTTCCTTCCTCTTTCAGAACTGGAACAGACTCCTTGTAGCTATAAAGATTTGATGGTGATTCCTGCAGATTTTTTTTTTTTTTTTTTTTTTTTTTTGTGTGTGTGTGTGTGTGTGTGTGTTAGGCTTGCTGTTTAATAGGGTGTTAAGGCAGCAGGGAAGCCATCCTTCCCTCCCCCCATCTCCACACGAGTGTGTCTCTCATTACTGTCAGGAGGTGTTAAGATGGCCCCATGGAGATGAGAACAAACCCCTTAATTAGGCACTGTTCCCACATCCAAAGAGGGACCAGCCTGGACCTGGCTGCTCTGGCATTGTGGGGAACTGAGCCCATGGGGGCAGGAGGGGGCAGGAGGGGGCAGGAGGGGGCAGGAGGGGGCAGGAGGGCACAGGAGGGCGCAGGAGGGGGAGGCTGTGGCCAGGGCATCTGAAGGACTCAGCAGGTTTACACTTCGCTGACCTGATGGATGAATGGGGCCCTGTCCACCCACAGGGGGCCTGGAATCTTCAATTACGGCAATTACATCAGCAGGTCGGAAGGGCAGCACTTTCCACTGAAGAGGTTCAGGGCTTTAAAGAAAAATCCGAAAGCCACTGTTTTCCCTGCTTTCTTTTATAGGGACTAGGCCGATCAAAGATGACTCCATCTCCAGTCTAATTGGGCCATAGGTAGAAAAGAAAGATGTGGCTGGGTTTTGTGTACGAGCTGGCTGGCACGTGCTCACCCACCTTTGGCTCCTTCCCATTCGGTTTTGTATTTAGAGACCCTGGTGGCACATGCTTTGTGCTCATCACCTTTCAGATGATAAGACACGGTGCCTTCGACTCTGAGTCTCCTAGTGTTCTGGGCAGTAGTACAATCAAGGATGGATTCCTTTCGAAAGTCACTTTTGTCTCCCTGGTCATTTGTTTCCCTCATTAGCAAAATCAGCACACTGCTGTCTACCTGTCCTTTCGAATGCTCCAAAGGGTACAGCTGCAACCACACCCCCTCCCCCCAACTAATTGTGCATTTTCTTTTTCTCAGCCACCTGTTAAGTAGCTAAGACGAAGTAAGGTCCTTGCACAAGCAACAAAATTCTTGTTACCTAAGAATTTGCTAGAAACATGGATTGTGGGCCTTACTCCAGATAAGTGGAATCTGCATTTTATTTATCAAGCTCTCTAGGAAATTTGTGGACGCATTAAAACATAAGGAGTGCTTTCTAGACTGAGACTTGACACATCGGGCATAAGGGAGCAAGAGGCAGGGAGCCTGAAAAACGAGGATTTATTCTTTCCTACCTCAGGGATGCTGTGGAGCCCAGAATGAAGCAGTTTACCATTGCAAAGGTATTTCGTCCAGCCACTGGGTAATTCAGTCAATGGACATTTGCTGAACAGCACTGTCAGGTAGGTTTGGGCTTGTGAAATATATTCTCCAGTTAGAAACCATTTGAAGGTGCAATGTTTAAAAGAGCTACCTCCCACAAAACGCAGTTAGCGCTGTCAAATGTTTATGCTTAGAATAGCAGGTAGGTGAGAAAGGGAGAAGCCACTGAGCCTGAAGTTCAGCTGGGTAGGTTATGGGAAGCTTCACTGAGAAAGTGACATGGAGTCACTTCCATGGAGAAATGAATGAGGCCAAGCAGACCCTTCTGGACAGAGTCAACATAAGCAAAGGCTGTATGTTTTATAAGAGTGGTGAGGCAGTGGACTGTCATCCCAGAATCTCACACGAACTGGGACAGCCATAGTGTATTTGCAGATGGCACCACACTTGATCTGTAAGTCCAATGAGAGACATTGTACTTCTGGGTCAGTTCCATGGGACCCACTGTCTGGTTTACTTTAGGTTCTTCATATACAAGTTAATATTATATTTATTGTACTGTTAATTATTTACGAGGAATGTTCCTTTGGACTCCTTATGGATTACGGATGGAGGTTTATTGGTGGCATCACACTCTACTCCCTGAGAGTTTTAAGATCACACACTGAGTTTTACGTGCACACCACTTGGGAGGCAGAGGCAGGTAGATCTCTGAGCTTGAGGCCAACCTGGTCTACAGATGGAGTTCCAGGACACCAGGGGCTACACAGAGAAAACCTTGTTTGGAAAAATAAAACAAAAACAAACCAACGAAATCACATTGAGCATTGAGGGTTAGGAAAATAAGGTAATAGGTCTCCAGATACATTATTTATGGGTATGGTGTTTTTTGGAAAAGCGAGGGGCCACCCATGTCAACGGGGCCTTGTGCTGTCAGCATGTTTGGCTAGTCACCGAAGTTGTTATCTAGTGTCACTGGGGATTTGTCACTACCTTTCCTCGCTATCATCACCTCAGTGTGTCCACAGCAGCAGTGGGATGTTCACTGTGCATGACTGTCAGCCGTAGGACAAGGAACAGAAATGGAGACGCTGCGGAGGACACAGAAAATGCTCCCCATAAGAGGCAGCTTACACCCTGGATCAACCAAAAGCAGGGGGGCCATATCCCCTGAATGACTGGTGTGATATGAAGTCTTGGGTCACAGCTGGTGAGACAAGCGAGTAGGTGCATCCACGTGACTGCGTGCAAGTCACTTCCTGGTACCTGTGCCAGGGCAGCATGATAGAAACTGAGTTTGACCAGAGGCTGAGCTCTCAGTGGCTCCCACAGGCCACCAGGGTTCTTGTTCCCTTGTGGAATGCTGTCATAGTAGGGGTAAGGACTTGGTAGATGAGGACAGTAGTATGCTGTATTCCCAGCTTCTTCTGGCTTGGCTCTCCGTGATTAAGCTAAAGGCAAGGACTTTGTTTTGCTTGTATTGGATAGCACCTTTGGGTGCTGAGTTAAAATTTAACCAAACTTGCAAATAAAGGTTATCTGTTGGTCTCTGGCATGGCCATCAGGGCAAAGTCTTTCTGCACCATTGCTCTCAGCATTGACACTCACTCTATTTGGGAACACAGTGAGATGATACCCCGTCACTGGTCCTTTTCAGTGTATGGGGATATAGGTGGACAGTGTTTAAGTGTCCCAGGACACTGTTGCTCTGGGTGGATTTTTGCTGTGAATGTGACAAGTGGCATGACACCATAGACAGAGCCTGAGATTAGGAGCCAGGACTGCCTGGATTCAGACATGGGCTTCTCATCAGACAGTGTGGTACTTGGGAAATCACTTCATTGCCTGAGCTTCGCTTTCCTACCATGGCAAGAGTGGTCTGCCTTTGCTGCACCATGAGGACTGAAGGAGAGAACAGTTTCAGAGGTTTTGGGTGGCAAAGAAGCTTGGTGTGACTCAGCCTCCTAGGAGCCCAGGACTTGAGAATCAACTGCCTTCAGTTCACATTAAAACCATATCAGCAGCCGGGCGTTGGTGGCGCACGCCTTTAATCCCAGCACTTGGGAGGTAGAGGCAGGTGGATCTTTGTAAGTTCGAGACCAGCCTGGTCTACAAGAGCTAGTTCCAGGGCGGACAGCCTCCAAAGCCACAGAGAAACCCTGTCTCTCACAAACAAACAAACAAACAAACAAAAACATATCAGCATTAGGGCTGAAGACAGGAAGACTCTACCCTGCAGAGCCATTTTATGATAGAAGCTGCAGTCAGGGGCTCAGTGGTTAAGAGCACTGGTTGCTCTTCCAGAGGACCAGGGTTCAATTCCCAGCACTCACTTGGCAGCTCACAACTGTCTATAACTACAGTTCCAGGGGATCTGACACCCTCACACAGACAAAATACCAGTGCACATAAAATAAAATTAAATAATTAAAAAAAAAGAACTGAAGTCAGGCAGCAGAAGGTGGGTGACAGATGAGCTGAAGAGTGTTGGCATAAGGACATCATATCCTGTAAGAGGAGGCCCTGCTGGAGGATGTGGCCCTCATCTCTAGATCTTGAAGAGGCCAGATTGGGACATTGAGAGATGTTTGTTCTTTCAGCTGTTTTCCCCAACATTGTGTTGTGTGTTTGAGGACCAACTCTAAAATCCATTTAGTCCACACACTTGGCTTACTGTTCTCTTGCAAGAGAAATCTGGAGGGATGGGGGCTTCCATGGACGTTGCTCTGAACTAGGTTTGACCAAGGAGTTTTCCTGGAATAGGCCCTAGGGAGAAACCAGATACAGGGGCTAAGTAGGAACTCGGTTTGATTACAGAGTTAGTGCGGCCTTCCTCCCTTCCTCCCTTCATTTCTCCTCCTGTCCATCTCCCATTTCTCTCTCCCTGTCTGCTTAGGTCAGTGCTGAGTGTGTGTGTGTGTGTGTGTGTGTGTGTGTGTGTGTGTAAGGACATGGTTGGGGGAGGATAGGAAAAGTTTAGACTCCCTGAGGTCTCATAGGGTAGGGTCCCAAGGTCCCGTGTTTGCCTAGAAACTCAAGAAGAAACCTCCAGAGTGAGGCAGTGACCCCATGGAGGAGTGTGCGTAACTGGAGGAAAAGAAAATAAACCTACCACACGGTGCACAGCCTGCAGGTCATGGGGGAGTGCCAGCCTGCCTCTCAAGGCTGATGAGTCAGGAGTAGAATATTTCCTCAGCATGCTGTGGCCTGAAAGCTGCTGTCCCGGGCTGGCCCCTTGCACCTGGCCTTGCCCACAGCTGTGTTTCAGCTAGCCCCCTGCAATCCCCCTTCCTCCTAGGAGCCATGTTTGGGAGAGCAGATGGAACAGAAGACAGAGTTTGAGTGGGTTTTTCCCCCTCCTCTCTGGGATCCCCCACAGCTAGGACTCAGGGAGAATTTGAGGGTCAGGGACAAACTAGTACTTCAGGGATGGGTTGGATACACCGAGGAGTATGAGGAGCTGGGGGTCATCCCTGCACACTCAGCAGCTGGACACACATGTGGCCCATTCAGAGTTCATCAGCTGCCAACAAAGGGCCTGAGCAGGGATTTTCTACCATTGTGTGTGCCTTTCTGGGACCCCACTATTTAATTCTCTCTCACCTCTCTACCCTGCTTTCCATCCACACCATTGGAGGATATCAGCACACTCCAGAAGGCATCTAGACCAGCAGTTGCCAAGCCCAGTGGATCATCACCCAGGATGCTTTTAAAAACTTGTTCTTGATGGGCAGTGGTGGCACATGTCTTTAATACGAAATGAGTAAGTGGGAGGCAGAGGCAGGTAGATCTCTGAGTTTGAGGCCAGCCTAGTCTACAGTGAGAGTTCCAGGACAGCCAGGCCTATACACAGAGAAACCCTGTCTCAAGCAAAGCAAAGCAAAGCAAAGCAAAGCAAAACCAAAACCAAACAAATAAAAAAACCAAACCAAAACAAACAAATGCATTCTCTGGGCTGGGGCTGAGGCTCAGCTGGTAGACTGCTTGGAATGTATAAATTTGGCATGGTGGTACATTTATGTAATCCCAGCCATTCAGGAGGTAGAGGCAGCTCTATACCAAGTTCAAGGCTAGCCTACAGGCGGGGAGAAAAAGAGAGAGAAAGAGAGGGGGGGAGATTGATTCTCAGGTTTAGTCCCAGTTCTGACTTCTCATCTCTGGACAAGGACTAATTCTCTAGGTCTCACGCCCTGTGGGCCATCCTATGGGAGGTCACAGTGGAGACCAAGTGTGTTAACGGCTTGTCTTGGCAACTAGCTTTCCTTGTGTGGATTTATGGATCGTATTAAGGGCTGGCTTTCCAGACCTGCTGAGAGGACCAGCACTGCCTCTCCATCTCATCACTGCAGGTTGCCTGGATGCAGGCTTCCAGCAAGGAGCCAGTTTATGCACTGGCCCAGAGCCAATCCATGCAGGGGAAGAAGCCCATCCCCATGTGGGCCATGCTGCCCTTCTGTATGTTTCCTTTAATGTGGTGGGCCAGAAATGTGGCCCCTAAGGCTTTGAGGAAATACTGCCAGCCCTACCTCTGTCCCAGGCACACCAGGCCTGGCTAAAGGGGAGAATGTGTTCTGGATGGGCTGAGACCAGCCTGCAGGGAGCTTTCACTTTCCTCTCTCTCTCTCTCTCTCTCTCTCTCTCTCTCTCTCTCTCTCTCTATCAGACAGGGTCTCATTATGTTGCTCTGGCTGTCCTAGAACTCACTATGTAGAGCAGGTTGGCCTCAAACTCACAGAGAACCACCTACCTTTGTCTGCTTCTACGTGCCGCTATGCCAGGCTTCATTTTCATTTATTAACTCCAAGTACTTCATAAAAAGATAGTACCAGTTTTGCTCGGGGTACCAGGTCTTTATTCCTGTAGGACTTGAAGGGCTTGGAGGCAGAGGATGATGGGTGAACCTTCTGCTCCCGCTGACACACAGAATCCAGAGAGGAGTGTAGCTCTGAGCATCTCACATGTGGTGTGTGTGTGTGTGTGTGTGTGTGTGTGTGTGTGTAGCCCTCCATAACCTGCCTCTGCTTCTATAGATTCAACCATTGATGCAGAATATTGAAAAAAAACTTCACTGAATGTATATACTTCCCCCTGCCATTATTATTCCCTAAATAATACAATATGGAAATCATTTATATAATACTCATGCTGTGTTAGGTATTGTAAGTAAGCCTGAGATGCTCTGGAGGACATGCTTAGGGTTTATGCAAATACTATGCCATTTAAATAATTCATATATATATATTTTGAGACAGGAAATTGATGTCTGAGTTGGTCTCAAATGTCAGAGTTCAAGCTTTTGCTTTGGGGATAGAGGGACTCCAGACATCCTCCACTCACCAGGCTCCTGTGCTATCTTGCATGTACAAGGCACTTGCACACTCATGATCTTGGTACTCATCTCCCACAAACATAGAGAGAATGACATTTATGTAGAGAGTAAGAAAGATGACACAAAGCCGATCTAGCACATGGGGTAAAATGTTACCACAATGTCAGATGGGTACAACATCTACAGACATTCTCTATTATTATCCTTTGCAACTTTAAGTTGACTTTTTCCAATTATTTTCTGTGTCTTATTGTGTTTTAAAATTTATACCCAAATTTTAAAAAGTGTAAAGGGGGATGGGTGGTGGTGACACATGCCTTGATTCCAGCACTCAGAGGCAGAGGCAGGTGGATTTCTGTGAGTTTGAGGTCAGCCTGGTCTACAAAGCTAGCTCCAGGACACGCGCCACACACACACACACACACACACACACACACACACACACACACACACAAAACCTGTCTTGAAAAACAAAACATACAAAATTTAAAAAGTAGAGGGTATGTGGCTTGTTCAAGGACATAGAGCAATCGAACAGCTGGGCTTTGGAGGCCTTGTGCAGGAGAGTTTCACTCGCATCCTCCAGTCTCTGGACTTCCATGTTTTAACTCAGCTGAAATACCAGTGTTCTCCGACCACTCAGTTCCTGTGCCTTGGTTTCTCAGGACAGAAGTGGATTGCTTTTCACCCGCTGCGCCTGTGGATTGGAAGCTCTTTGAGGACAGCTTCTCATTCCAGGCTGAATCCCGGGACACATGGTGACGGGAAAGAGAGAGCGACAGACAAGCCATGGCTCACACAGATGAACACACACAGGCCAACATGCTTGTGCTCTGCTTCCTTTCAAAGTTTAGTTGCAGGTGTGAGGCGCAAGGACTGAGGGGGGCCGTGGGCTGAGAAGCATGATGTCCCCGGAAAGGACGTATGAGAATGAATGACAGCATTTGGGAAGACAGGAGGATGGCCCTTCTTGGTCACCCACCCACAAAGGCTCTTTTGGGAGAGAATGAAGCTCTTGCATTCAGGTGACCTAGGGATCCCAGAGACGGGGTATAGAGGCTGCAGGAGTGAGAATGGAAAGTACCATCTTTCCAGCAGTGAAAAAGCCCTTTGGTCACTTGACATCCTGCCATCCTGCTCTGGGCCGCTGCTGAGCTTACCTCCGTCTTGTGGATGAGCACCAACAACACAGACGACCTGCTTCTGCTCCTGATGCACAGCTGTGGGCAATGGAGGCAAGTGGGTGTAAGAGCAATGGGAAGGGCAGGCTTATGGTCAGAGTGTGCCCATTCCCCAAGGAATTGTTAGTTTGCTTTTTCAATACTTACCACATCACAAACTCAGAATTCACAAAGCATGAAGGCAAATGTCAATGTATATTATGAAATGTGCCTGTCTCTCACCCCTCCTCCCCCTCCCTATAGTCATCCAGTTGTCCTTACTGATATTCTCAGTTTTTCAAGATGAGACTGTAATGGAAAGTTTAAGCTTGTACAACCAGATGTGTTAGCTTTGAGTTCCAAATATGCTGCTTGTACCGTGCTATGTTCTCTTAGTGATTGACAGTCTCTTCCATGCGAGTCTGCGCCAGTCTCCTCAGTTGGGTTCTGTTTGTTAGCTGCATAGTGCTTCCCCATGTTGCTGGGGAAGTCACCCCAGTACCTATCTAAAGAGCCAGACTCCAGCCTTTTGGGGGAGCCCCTGTTTTACTAATAACAAAGGGTATTGTGACATGAAGGAACATCAGTCTTGTGCTGCCCAGCATTGTCACTACTAACTACACTGCAATTCCACACATATGGCTGGTCCAGTCAAGACTGGCTACAAAGGTACGATGCAAACTAGACTTTGGGGATTTAATTTTAAAATGTAAACCATCTTATTTAATATTTTTTAACATTTATTGCATGTCAAATTATTTTTTAAATATATCAGCTGTATAAAATATGTGACAAATCAATTTCAAATGCTTCTTCTTACTTTTGTGCTATGTGTCAACTAGACCATTCTAAATTCTGGATGTGGTATGTGCATGAGTGTGTGTGTGTGTGTGTGTGTGTGTGTGTCTGTCTGTCTGTCTGTCTGTCTGTCTGTCTGTCTGTGTGTCTACCACACTTCTATTGAACTTGGTTTCCCTGGGGACTTGGAACCAGGTACACCTGAAAGTGGGAAGCGCTAGTGGGGCAGGAAGGGGAACTAGGGAAATAAGAAGGAATAAGAGCAACTGCATGGGGTCCTCTAGGCTGGTCCAGGAGCTCTAGGCTTCCACCTGCCTTGTGGTGACCAGCTGGATGTTCCCAGGACCAGCCTGCTCTCTTCCCTGCCTCTGGTTCTCTTGTGTGTAAGACCATGAAGGGGAGAAGAGGGTGCCGCCTCCAGGAAGGCGGGAGCACCATTTTGTCCACGCTGTGGCATGAAGTGGACTCTGGCTGAGAGAATGAGTGCAAATAGGGAGATGGAAATTTGCCAGTTTTCTTTCTGGGGAAGTGTAGACTCGTGAAAGCATCAGGGCTTGAGGTTCTTGATGACACCTTTGAAGATGCCTTTGTCTATAAATCCAAGGCTCACAGCACAGGAATGATGTGTTCAGGGCCCACCGGTGCTAACAGCCGACCAAGGAACACCTCCAATTTCTTCACTGTATTGTAAAAGAATCACCCAGAGAGAGGGCTGAGTGAAATGTCTGCGCACTTTTGGCAACATGTACTACGCAGAGCGCCTAGCCAGGGCACCTTCCTCTCTCCTGCCATTTCTAGGATAGGTAATGGCCTGCGGAAGAATGGGCCCAGTAGCAACCCACTCACAGCAAAGGCTCTGGTTGCCCAGTGTCCTCTCTATATATGCTCAGGTGGGACACTGCCATCTTGGCCTCTTCTCCCTGGGCCTGAAGAATCCAGTCAGTCCTGAAGGAGGCTTGAGGAGCCTGCAGGCTAGGCTCAGCAGCCACAGCCCCTAAATCATTCATGCAGGCTTGGGATAGGCCAAGCGGCACGGAGGGGATTTTCATAGATTATATTAAAAGAATTACAATGGTGCGGGAAAGGAGCCGGGTTCCCACAGTGTCCGGTCACTCCTGTGGGGGCTGTGGGAGCCGGGCCTGGCTGCCTCTTTCTCTCTGGGCAGCAGCACACATAGTTTTTAATAATTAAGTAACTTCAATTGTCCTGGGAAAGCCGAGCTTGCCTTGGGGCACACTGCACAAACTCATAATGTTACCAAGAGAGATTAACAAATGAGAACTGAGAAATGACTCTCTTCTTAAAACCCTCACTGTTAAGCCTTATTATCTAAAGTTTAGAACCTCATTTATCTGCTTGGGGGTAGGGGGAGACCCAAGACCCAGAAACTAAGGCACATGAAATTAAACTTCATGCCTCAGCACGGTTGTTTTAAAAGCATCAGACAGAAAAATGTTACCATTTACTGATTCCATTCTGGTGACTGAATTTTCATTCAAGGCAAAAGAATTAAGAATAATACATTAACAAAAATTCATTCTTTTCAGTGTATCCGTTGCTTAGAAATTATCTCACTTTAGTGTTTGGGAGTAATTTTTTTCTCTGGTTCTTCGAGAAATATTCTAAATTCTGTCATTTCAATGGCTGTATGAACTGATAGCAACAATGTGATTGGCACACTAACATGTAGGAAGTAATTGATGAGCTAATGAGTGCAGTAATAAAAGGAGGAAGTACCTCAAAAAAAAAAAAAAGATTGTTCTCCCACAAATATCCATGGTCCATATGAAGGGCAAGCCTGTAGGACAGTCTGCCTGGGCTGGGAAACAGCATCAAGATAGACTAGAGTTGACACAGCTTTGGGGGGCAGTGGGGAAGCTTGAAAATGAGGACAGAGTAGGTTTGTATGCATAATTAATAGCCCCTAATAGTTTGATAGATTCCCCTGGACTGTGGCTGTTTCCTAATCAAGTCCCAGTGCCTTGTGCCTCTGCTCTGACTTTTTCTTCCGTTCACGTCACAAGTACTGGTACCCTAAATGATACAAACCATTTAGCATCCAGTTTTGTTTTTTTTTTTTCCAGGACTGTGGCAGCCTTTTCTTCTCCATAGTCAAGCAACATGGGCTGGATGCCTTTATATTCCAGGAACCATGGATTTAAACCAGTAGTTCTTAACCTGTGGGTCATGACTCCTTTGAGGGGGTTCAATGACCCTCTCACAGGGGTCGCCTAAGTCCATCGGAAAACATGGATTACATAATTCATAACAGTAGCAGAATTACAATTGTGAAGTAGCGATTTAATTAAAAAATATGAAAATAATTTTGTGGCTGAGGGGGGTGTTACCAAAATATGAGGAACTGTATTAAAGGGACACAGCATGAGGAAGGTTGAGAACCACTGACAGAGACAGAGAAAACCTTAGCTTTGAATCTGGAGTTTCCATTACTCCCTTCTGTCCGAGCCTCAGTTTCCTTATCTGTGAAGAGGGAATGATAAAATGTGGTTGGGAATTCTTGGGGGATGAAAAGAGGTCAGTAGGAGTTCCTGATCAACTTTTCCAGGGAACCCATGTGGGGGCCATCTTGGGGGTGCTTCCTTCCCTCTGTCTCATCTGAAGCTTCAATTCTACCTCAGTTCTCACTCAGTGCCCCTCAGATTTGGCTTAGGTGGCCCCTGCCCCTGTGTCTTAGAGTAGGAGCTGGGAAGCCATTTGTCCTATAGCATCACCTTGACTGTGGACAGAGGCTCTTGCCTGAGGTTGCTGTCCCCTGGCTGTCAGCTAATGTTCACAGGGAGGCTGGTAACCAAATAAGGACAGTGGCTGATTAAGCTCAAGGTATGATTTCTCTCAGGGTCTATAGATGTCACAAATAGAGAAAGTCGTTTTCTTCTAGGTGTTTTGTGCTCTCATGTCAGTTTCTGACTGAGCCTGTCACCTGAGGGAAAAGTAGAGAAGGATCTTCAAGGAGCCGTAGCACAGCTCTACTACGTGGAGGTCCCAAGCGTGTGGAAACAGTGCTGTGAATATTGAGGTGCCTGGTGCCAGGAAAAGCACCCAGGTGCATGGCCGATGGGGCTTAGTGGTGATGGATTGGAGTCATTCTATAAAGAGGAGCTGACTGATGACAAGCACTGGTCAGAGAAAGCAGACTCTGCAAGTAACTAGTATTTCTACTTACTATTATAACTACTATTAATAGTATAATAACTAGTATTACTAATAATGACCACAGCCCTCCAACCATTCCCAATATTAGTTATTGTGAAGAATGTGTTCCCTTTACCAAAATGGTGCCAACCCATGTGGAAGGTCACTGCACTGTAATTTCTTAACTCCTAGACCTGTCATGGAGCCATTTCATACCAGAATGCAAAGAGCAGTGCCGGTCTTTTTGTACATGGCCAATTAGCATTTCATTTTATTTAATCAATACATTTTTTTCTTTAAGTTTCTTTTTTAAATTTTATATGTATGGGTATTTTGCCTGCATGTATGTCTGTGTGCCACAGGTATTCATGCCACAGAGGTCAGAAGAAGGCATTGGATCCCTTGGGACTGGAGTTACAGACAGTTGTGATCTGCCATTTGGGTGCTGAGAAATGAACCCAGGTTCTCTAGAAGAGAAGCCAATGTTCTTAACCTCTGAGCCATCACTCCAACCCCCCAAAAATGTGTAACCCAGGCTGACCTTGAACTCATGATCCTCCTACCTCCACTTCTTAGGCATATCCTATCAGCGTGTGCTACCACAACTGGCTTAATCATTTTTTTTAAGTGCTTGCTTACTGATAGACATGGGTAGTTTTGTGGTAATATATTGTTATTATATAATAAAGCCACTGAAGATCAGAATGCAAAGCTAGCCTCTGCCATAGAAGCTGAGCAGTGGTGGCACACACCTTTAATCCCAGGACTCAGGAGACAGAGGCAGATGGAGCTCTGTGAGTTCAAGGCCACCCAAGGCTACATGAGAGTGAATCAGAGTAAAAGAGAAACAGAGTTTTAATCCCAGCACTAGAGAGTATATAAAAAAGAGCCAGGGTCTCATGAGGCATTCAGTATTCAGTCTCAGGGCAATTAGTCTGTGTCCACAAGGACAGGATCTCCTCAGCCTTGGCAGAGGTAAGTGAGAGCTCTCTGATAGCTTGGCTGCTTTGCTTTTCTGGTCTTCAGCTTTCCCCCTAATATCTGTCTCTGGGTTTTTATTATTCATGCTACAAGTTTTGAGTTTATTTGTTTGTTTTTTTATTTGTTGCCTTAACAGACAAGCCTGACATTATCTGTTACTGGAATCTGGTGCATGGGAGATTGCTGTGGAAAGAACATTAAGACATAAAAGTTTTGTCCTTAGTCTGCTAATTAAATTAGTTGCTTGACTTTGGGCAAGTGCCACTGTCATTGTGGACCTCAGTTTCTGTCAAACAGGGCCACTGAGCTCTACCTAGTGTCCCTTATAAGATGCTTGTCTCTTAACCCTAGAGACTCCCCCAAATTATCAATGCAGTGAGGTACCACAGAAAGGGACAGTCCCAGCTGTGGCTGTGGGTGGGACAGCCAGGCTGGGTGATGGGGTAAGCCTCTCTCCTCACTCATCTCTGTGATGCAACATTGAACTCAGACAAGTTAGGCCTTGCTTTCCCCTGGATCCAGCATGATTCAGGGCCTGTAGCGTGGCTTCTCACTGCAGATGAGCTGCAGACACCTTTCTTGGCAATGGCTTTAACAGGGCTCTGGAAATGTCTGGTTACTCATCTGTTTTGCAAGGGTGGCAAGCGCTCAGAGAGAAGGAGGCAGCTAGCGTGGCTTCCTTCCTGAATTAATGACTTCAGCCTCATAAATGACTCATCAGTTCTATGCCCAGGAGAACTGGGTGATGGAGTTGGAGCCTGGGATGGCAGCAATATGGATGGTATCAGAGGTGGGGTGTATGTCCCCATCCTCCACTAGAAGCCTTTGTGTCTCCATGCTCTGTAAGG